TGGCACCGGGACCAGGATCAGCGCCAGGATGACTCTGAGATTGGCAAAAGGATTGGAAATGGGATTAGAAATGGGATTGGAATTGGGATCCCTCCTGAAACTCTGCATTTGTTCCAAGGAGCTTTGGCTGCGCCCCCAGGCAGGGCGGGACCCCCTTGGTTTACATCGATCTGGTGCAGCATCCTAGTCCATATGGTCCAGTTTGTATGATCCCAGTCTCTGCTCCTAATCCCTATGGTCCCAGCCTGTGAAATCCTGGTCCACGTGATCCCAGTTTGTATGGTCCTGCACAGCACACACTCCAAGGACCTGGAATTCTATTTCCCAGCCAGGAAAAGATATTCCTGCCCTTGAAGGCAAAGCTCTTAAGAAGGGGCCAAAAGCCAAGTGGAGCAAGATCCTACAGTGACATTTCACTGCCAGCCTTCAGAACTTCACCCATGGCTGTTGTAGCTCCTGCACTGGGAATTAAATTAGGGCAGGGTCTTTGGTGGCAGCTGTCCTGGCTCAAGGGAGGCACTGAGAGAGAAAAAGAGCAGGCAAAGAGAGGCAGGAGAGAAAGGAGGACACAAACACAATCAGCTTAGAAGGTGGCACTCTGCCAATAGAACTGCAACTGACTGAAAATGAAAGGGACAGAAATCAGTAACTCTGAAAGTTTTATTTGCTATCAAATACATCCCAACCAGCCAGCCCCACATAATCCCCATCCCACCGCTCCAAATTGGGATCCCACTTCTCCCAATCTCCTTCCCACCCCATCTCACCATGCCATCGGTGGAATCAAGTGAGTTTGGCATGGGATTGAGTTTATTTTAAGGTGGGAACAAGCTATTTTGATGTGGGATTGAACCCATATGAATTAAAATTCAGTTGTTTAACACTACTATAAAAGTGTGTAAGCTGGATCAATAAATCGGAGTTTGATTTATTGATCCAGCTTACACACGTTTATTGTGGTGTTAATAAAGTTCATACATATTGCAAAACCCAAGCTCATTATTGGCTACAGATTACACACCAACCCCTCCTTTTGTTGTCAATATCTGTGGTTTCTTGTTGAGACTAACATTTGTTTTTCTCATCCTGTTGTTGACTTGTTATTGACTGTTCTCAAGGCCTCCATGTTTTCCATCATGTTTTTTCTCATCACTTTACTCAAGGACACGGTGTTTATTGTTTAAGGAAAAAGCCTGAGAACTTGCTGCTTATAGCTGCCTTTTACTTTTTAACCAGCTGTATATTTTCATGGCCCCTCTATAAGCCATGTCTGAACAAAATTCTGCAACAGTTGTTTTCAGTGGGATTCAGTTGTTTTGAGGTAACCCTCTTGGCTTTTGGAGCGCAAAGAGATGGAAAACACTGCCCAAAATCCCCCCACAGAACCCACAAATCCTCCAGAATATTGTCCCTAAACCATCAATTCTCCCTTAAAAACCTCTGAAATTGTGGAACTTTAGACATCTTTGATCAATTTATTTCATTTAACCCTGTTTTGGCTGTTTTTAAGGGATGAAGATGAAGCAAAAGAAAATTGAGGCCAAACCAAAAGGAGAGAAGCAGCCAGGTGTGTTCCCAGCATGGATCACAAGGAATGTAAGTGACCAGGGCGGTGCCCAAAGTGCCTCCTCCAGTGCAGGATGGAGCAGAAGCAGTGCACGAAGCTCTTCCCGCATTCAGGGCACTTGCAGGGCTTCCCTTAGTGGTGCCTCCGTTGGTGTTGGGGCAAGTGAGAGCTCTGTGAGAAGCTCTTCCCCACACTGGGGACACCCGTAGGGCCTCTCCCCAGTGTGGATGCGCCGGTGCCTGATGAGGTGGGAGTTGCGCTGGAATCCCTTCCTGCACTCGGGGCAGCGGAAGGGCCTCTCCCCTGTGTGACTCTGATAGTGTCGGAGGAGATGGGAGCTGGTCTGAAACCCCTTCCCACACTTGGAATACTCGTAGGGCCTCTCCCCGGTGTGGGTCTTCTGGTGCGTGATCAGGTGGCAGCTATGGCTGAAGCTCTTCCCACATTCTCCACACTCGTAGGGCCTCTCCCCGGTCTGGGTCCTCTGGTGCTGGATCAGCTCAGAGCTCCACCTGAAGCTCTTCCAGCACTCCACGCACGTGTGGTGCTTCTCCCCATCATGGAGCACCAGCTCCGAGCTCTGGCTCCATCTCCGGCCGCCTTCCCGGCCCAGGCTGGCTGTTTCCCCCTCAGATCCCTGCCAGCTGCGTTTGCAGCCCCTCCTCGTGCAGCATCTCCAGGGCTTTTCCTCCCCGTTGCCTTCCTGCGCCGTGGAGCTGCTCAAAACGGCCTCTTCCACCAGGTTCTGCCATGGGCATTTGTCCTCCCTGCTCTCCATGCTCAGCTCCTGCTCTGGGGGAGGAAGGACAAGGACAGGATGGGATTTGCCTCTGTGCCACAGGCAAGGGCAAGGAGATTCCCCCAGGGCTGAGCTGCAGCCGGGGGCCATGCTGGGCTGGAGATGGAGCAGCAGAGGGGAATGGGGCACTGACTTCCTCCTCACCTGCCTCAGTGTCCCGGGGCATCTTCCTCTTCCTCACAGCCTGCCAAGGGTTGGCAATGGGAAATCCTGGTTTGGGGAAAACAAGGGATGAGCACAGTGAGTTTGAAGGTCCCTCTGCACCAGTCCATCTCTACAAGTCACTGGACATCTGGGCTCCAGAAAACCTCCCAAACACCAAGATTCAGCCCTGAAAAAGCCTCCCAGGTACCTCGCCTCTGGTGTTACAGTGTTCCCCCCTGTCCCAGCTGCTGGGGTCACGCTTGGATTGGGGGTCCCCCTTGTCCTCGGTGCCCGCCCTGCCCAGGCTGCTGGGAGACCCAGCGATCCCAAAAGTTCCCTGTTTTCCATCTCCCCACTTTGGGATGCCGGGGCTGTTTGGGCTCCCGGGCTCCCTTCTCCCCTCATTCTCTGCTCTGGGCTGCAGCGGCTCCAAGGAGTCCCCCCTGCCCCTCTCCAGGCTCTTGAGGCTCCCGCCAATGGCGGCGCTCCCCCCTCTCTGGGCTCCCCACTTTGGGCTCCTGGGGGACACAGGGCTCTGCTCCTCCAGGCTGCCTCTGCCGGCAGCCGCCACCGGCACCCCCCGATGTCCCCTCGAGGGGCCTTTTCTGCTCAGTCTTGGACTGCTTCATTCTCCAAACATCCCCCCAAAAACCCCACCCAGGGACCCCCCAGGATGTCTGGGCCGGGCTCCCCCTCCCTGCTCACCAGCACGACAGGGGGGGGGCGATGATCCCACAGGTGGGGGCTGCAAGTTCAGGCAGGGCTGCAGCGCATGGTTCCATCTGCTCAGCCTTGATCCGCCTTTGTCCCTCCTCTTCCTCTTCCTCCCGCTCCTCCTGTTCCATCCCCTCTCTTCCTCCTTCTCCCTCACCCCACCTCCTTCTCCTCTTCCATCCCTCCTCCCCCTCCTCTTTCCCCACCTCCTTCTCCTCCTTTGTCCCTCCCTTTCCCTCCCTCCTCCTCCTCCTCCCTGACCCTCCCTCCTTCTCCTCCTTCTTCCCTCCCATTTTACCCCTCCTCCTCCTCCTGCTCCTCCCTAACCCCACCTACTCCTCTTTTTTCCATCCTTTCTCGATCTCCGTTATCCCTCCTCTTCCGTGCCATCCCTATTTCTCCAGTCCCGGTCCATGCGATCCCAGTTTGGTGGGATCCCAGTCCATAGAATCTCAGACCAGTTTATCCCAGTGTGTATGGCCTGGATCCATATGGTCCCAGTCTGTGCAGTCCCAGTCTATAGGATCCCATTTCACAGGGTTCCAGTTTATACAGTCCCAATCCCTACTTGGTCCCATTCCAGTTTATCACAGTCCAGTTTATCCTTTTCCGTAGGATCCCAGTGCAGGCTATCCCAGTCCAGTTTATCCCAGTCCATAGGATCCCAGTTCCATATAATCCGAGTCCATAGGATCCCAGTCTGGGCTATCCCATTCCAGTTTGTCCCAGTGCATAGGATTCCAGTCTCTCAGGCATCCGCTGAGTAGGGAACTGGGATAACTGGGGGGCACAGGATAGCGGGGTGGGGGGGAACTGGAAAACGGGGGAAACTGGTATAACAGGAAAAATGGGATAAGGGGGGAACTGGGATAATGTGGGGGACTGGGATAATGGGGGGAACTAGGAGAGTGGGATAATGGGGAACTGGGATAATGGGAATTCCGGGATAACAGAAATTCCAGGATAATGGGAATTCTGGGATCAAGGGGAAATTTGGGATAACGGGAATTCCAGTCTAACAGAAATTCCAGATCAATGGGAAATTTGGGATAACAAGAATTTTGGGATAATGGGGAAATTTGGGATAATGGGAAATTTGGGATAATGAGAATTTTGGGATAACATAAATTCCAGAATTATGGGAATTTTTGGATAATGAGGAAATTCGGGATAGTACATATGATCCCAGTCCCTATTTGATCCCAGTCCATATTTGATCCCAATCCATTTGATCCCAGTCCATATGCCAGTCTGTATTGCTCGGCATACATTCCAAAAGGCTGGAATTCCAGCTCCCAGACAGGAAAAGATGTTCCCGCCCTTGAAGGCAAATGGAGCAAAATCCTACAGAGACATTTCCCTGCCAGCCTTCAGGACTTCAGCTCCTGGGACTGGGAATTAAAATAATATTTGGGAAATAAAATAATAAATAATATGGGGAGGGTTTTTGGTGGCAGAGGGGTCAATTAAAACAGGGCAGAGGTCAATTAAATCAGGGCAGGGTCAATTGAATGAGGGCAGAATCTTTGGTGGTCACTGGGGCAATAAATCAAAGGAGGGTATTTGGTGGTCCCTGAGGCAATTAAATATACGGAGGGTCTCGGGGGGTGCCTGGGTCAATTAAATCAGGGGAGGATCTATGGTGGTCCCTGGGTCAAGAGAGACACTGAGAGAGAAACAAAGCAGGCAAAGAGAGGCAGGAGAGAAAAGGGGACACAAACACAATGAGCTGAGAAGGCGGCACTCTGCAAACAGAACTGCAACGGACTGAACATGAACGGGAGAGAAATCAGTAAGTCTGAAAATTTTATTTGCTATCAAATGCATCCCACACACCCAGCTCCACACAATCCTCATCCCACCGCTCTAACTGAGATCCCACTTCTCCCAATCTCCTCCCAGCCCCATCTTACTTAGGTGGCTGAGGAATCAAGTGAGTTTGGTACGGCACTGAGTTTTTTTGAGGTGGGATTGAGCCCTTTTGGGTAAGATCGAGTTGTTTTCACTGGGATTTCAGTGGTTTTCAGGTGACAGATCCATCTCTCTTGACTTTTCAAGTGCAAAGAGATAGAGAAGCTAGAAACATTAGGGCCAAAACAAAAGTAAAAGCTGCCAGGTGTGTTACCAACATGGATCACAAGGAATGGGAGTGACCAGGGCTTTGCCCAGAGTGCCTTCTCCAGTGGGGGATGGAGCTGGAGCAGCGCACGAAGCTCTTCCCGCACTCAGGGCACTTGCAGGGCTTCCCTTACCGGTGCCTCCGTTGGTGTCGGGTCAAGTCAGAGCTGCTGGAGAAGCTCTTCCCACACTGGGGACACTCGTAGGGCCTCTCCCCAGTGTGGATGCGCCGGTGCTTGACGAGGGTGGAGTTGTGCTTGAATCCCTTCCCGCACTCGGGGCAGCGGAAGGGCCTCTCCTCTGTGTGAATGCGATAGTGCTGGAGGAGATGGGAGCTGGTCTGAAACCTCTTCCTGCATTTATCACACTCGTAGGGCTTCTCCCCAGTGTGGATGTGCCTGTGCCTGACGAGGGTGGAGTTCCACCTGAATCCCTTCCCACAGTCGGGGCATTGGAAGGGCCTCTCCTCTGTGTGACTCTGATAGTGCCGGACGAGATGGGAGCTGGTCTGAAACCCCTTCCCACACTTGGAACACTTGTAGGGCCTCTCCCCAGTGTGGGTCCTCTGGTGCGAGATCAGGTGGGAGCGCTGGCTGAAGCTCTGTCCACACTCCCCGCACTCGAAGGGCCGTTCTCCAGTGTGGATCCTCTGGTGCTTGATCAGGCTGGAGCTCCCACAGAAGCTCTTCCCACACTCCCCACACTCATAGGGCTTCTCCCCAGTGTGGATTCTCTGGTGCTTGATCAGGTTGGAGCTCCACCTGAAGCTCTTCCCACACTCCCCACACTCATAGGGCTTCTCCCCAGTGTGGGTCCTCTGGTGCACAATCAGGTCGCAGTTCCACCTGAAGTTCTTTCCACACTCCACGCACGTATGGGGCTTCTTCCCATCATGGAGCTGCTCATGGAGTACCAGCTCCGAGCTCTGGCTCCATCTCCGGCCGCCTTCCCGGCCCAGGCTGGCTCTTTCCCCCTCAGATCCCCGCCAGCTGCGTTTGCAGCCCCTCCTCGTGCGGCATCTCCAGGGCTTTTCCTCCCCGTTGCCTTCCTGCGCCGTGGAGCTGCTCAAAACGGCCTCTTCCACCAGGTTCTGCCACAGGCGTTTGTCCTCCCTGCTCTCCATGCTCAGCTCCTGCTCTGGGGGAGGAAGGACAAGGACAGGATGGGATTTGCCTCCGTGCCACAGGCAAGGGCAAGGAGATTCCCCCAGGGCTGAGCTGCAGCCGGGGCCGTGCTGGGCTTGGAGATGGAGCAGCACAGATGGGAAAGGGGCACTGACTTCCTCCTCACCTGCCTCAGTGTCCCGGGGCATCTCCCTCTTCCTCGCAGCATCCCAGGGGTTGGCAATGGGAAATTCTGGTTTGGGGAAAACAAGGGATGAGCACATTTGTAGGAGTGTTGAGGGGTAGGACGGTCGGGACGGATGGAAACGAGAGATCTCTGCAGCCAGGGCGTGGAAGTTGCGGTTTATTGCAAAGGGCCTGGGTGCAGGGCCCTGCTTGGAGCTGCCAGCCACAGGTCGGAGCGGGCCCGAGAGAAGAGCGGGGTAGAGAGGATGAGAGGGTGAGAGAGTAAGAGGGGAAGAGCGTAAGAGAATAAGCTTCCCATTACAATACAACAAATCTTCTTCTCTGTTGAATATTCTATTTCTCACTAACCAATCTAGTACAAGATACAAATCCTAGAGCATTTACATACAGCCTGCAAGAATCATTACATCATGATACTGTGCTACATTTTAAACCCTAAACACACCGCTTTGGACCCCTTCTGCTGAGCTATTAGGGTCTGCTCTGACCCCTGGGTCTGTCTGCACGCAGAGGGAATTGTTTCAACAAAAGGGGATTACCTTCAGTCAGGCCACACCATTGTTTTCCAGTTGTTCACTAAGGTATCTCAAAGCTTGCTTCCATCTCAATCTTGCTTAGAGTTTCAATATTCTCAAATTCTTTTGCCAATCATATTTATGAGGCTTCCCTGTTTCATCTTGCCCAACACATGTTCAGTTTGAATGTCCCTCTGCCCGAGTCCATCTCTACAAGTCACTGGCCACGTGGGCTCCATAAAAACCTCCCAAACACCAAGATCCAGCCCTGGAAAAGCCTCCCAGGAGTTCCCTGTCCCTGGTCCCTCCCCTCTGGTGTTCGGGGGTTCCCCCCTGTCCCAGCTGCTGGGGTCACGCTTGGATTGGGGGTGCCCCTTCTCCTTGGTGCCTGCCCTGCCCAGGCTGCTGGCAGTCCCAGCGATGCCAAAAGCTCCCCCCTCTTGGCTCTCCCCATTTCGGGATGCAGGGCTGTTTGGGCTCCCGGGCTCCCTTCTCCCCTCATTCTCTGCTCTGGGCTGCAGTGGCTCCAAGGAGTCCCCCCTGCCCCTCTCCAGGCTCTTGAGGCTCCCGCCAATGGCGGCGCTCCCCCCTCTCTGGGCTCCCCACTTTGGGCTCCTGGGGGACACAGGGCTCTGCTCCTCCAGGCTGCCTCTGGCGGCAGCCGCCACCGGCACCCCCTGATGTCCCCCTGAGGGGCCTTTTCCGCTCAGCCTTGGACTGCTTCATTCTCCAAACATCCCCCCAAAAACCCCACCCAGGGACTCCTCGGGATGTCTGGGCCGGGCTCCCCCTCCCCGCTAACCTGCACGATGGGCGCGGGGGGGGGGGGGGGGGGGCGATGATCCCACAGGTGGGGGCTGCGAATTCAGGCAGGGCTGCAGCGCGGTTCCATCTGTTCACCCTTGATCAGCCTTTGTCCCACCTCTTCCTCCCGCTCCTCCTCTGTCTTGTCCCCACCTCCTTCTCCTCCTCCATCCCTCCTCCCTCTCCTCCTCCCCTGTAACCCCGCCTCCTTCCCTCCTCTTTCTCCTCCCCTTCCATCCCTCCTCGAGCTCCTCTGTGTTATACCCACCTCCTTCTCCTCTTCCATCCTGCCCCTTCCATTCCTTCTCCTCCTCCCCCTCCATCCCTGCCCTTCCCTCCCTCCTCCTCCTCCCCCAGCAGCAGCCACACCCTTGGTGCCCCGTTCCCGCAGCCCTCGCAGCCCGCGGCAGGAGCGGGGATGGAGCCGGGACAGGTCGGGATGGGCAGCGCGGGGCTCTCGGCTGCTCCCAGCCGCTGCGGGCGGGGGGAAGCCGGCCCGGGCCAAAGGAGAGGCAAACTGGGCAAACTGGGGGCTGCACATCCAAACTGGGCCTTGCTGGGGACCCTGCCTGGCCACTGCCAGCCCTTGGGGCTCCTCTCGGCACATCCGCCAGGGGGGAACGCACACAGGGCTGGGGGATCCCAGCAGTGGCAGCACCACCAGGGACTGGGGTGGACTGGGCTGCACTGGGGTAACTGGGAATGACTGTGAGCATGCTGAGGGACACTGGGATATACCAGGAGTGTCTGTTAACCATCCTCGGGTGACTGGAACCACATTGGGAACAGGTGGGACCATGCTGGGGAGAACTGGGACACCATGCTGGGGGTACCTGGGAGCGAGTGGGAATGACTGGATGTACACTGGGGACAACTGGGCATGACTGGGACCATGCTGGCAGGGACTGAGATCATCTATGGAGTACCTGGCACTATACTGGGACAACTGGGATCACACTGGGAGGAACAGGGAGTGAGTGGAACCTTGCTGGGGGCTACTGGGATCCTACTGGGATCACAGTAGGAGGAGCTGGCCAATGCTGGGAGTGACTGGCATCATACTGGATCATACTGGCAGCAACTGGGACTGCACTGAGGGTGACTGGGAGTGGCTGTGAGCAACTGGCATCAGGCTGGAAGCTACTCAGGGCAGCTGGGAATGACTGGGAAGATGCTGGGAGCAACTGGGATACACTGGGAGAGACTGAAACCACAAAGGGGGTAAATGGCAGCAACTGGAGCCACACTGGATGATCATGGGAGCAGCTGTGCCCATGCTGGGATCCTACTGGGATCCTATGGAAAATGGCTGGGATCATACTGGGAGTGACTGGGAAGGCGCTGGTTCTGACTAGAACCATACTGGAAGTGACTGGGAGCAACTGGGCCCACACTGGGAGTGCCAGGGAGTCACTCTGAGCATGACTGCAATAACGCTGGGAGTATCTGGGACTGACTGGGGTCATACTGGGGGTGACTGGAACCATACTGGGAGTGACTGGGAGTGGCTGTGAGCAACTGGGATCATGCTGAAAGCAACTGGGGGGAACTGGGAGTGACTGGGAGCATGCTGGGGCTGACTGGGATATACTGGGGGAGACTGGGAATCACTGGGATCATACTAGAGGCTCCTGGGGTAATCCTGGCATTGACAGGGAGCAACTGGGATCATAATGGGGGCCACTGGCATAATACTGGGAGTGACTGGGATCATCCAAGAAGCGAGTGGAACCATACTGGGAGTGACTACTGCTCCTGCTGGGGTCACCCTGGGAGCCACTGGGATCACACTTTGGGCAACTGCTAGAAACTGGGATCATCCTGGAGGCAACTGGGAGGAACTGGAAAAGACTGGGATCATTCTGATCTAACTAGAACTGTACCAGGCCAACTGGGATACGCTGAGACTGTCTGTGACCATACTGGGGGGACTGGAAGCACACAGGGAACAGCTGGGACCATGCTGGGGGCAACTGGGAGTGAGTTGGACCTCGGTGAGCGGGACTGGGACTATTCTAGGGACAACTGGAACCATGCTGCGAGGAACTGGGAACAACTGGAACTACTCTGGCAGCAACTAGGATCATACTGGTTTGACAGTGGGAGCAGTTGGATCCATGCTGGGTGAGACTGGGATCACACTGAGGGTGACTGGAGTCATACAGGGATTGACTGGGAATGGCTGTGAGCAACTGGAATCATGCTGAAAGCAACTGAGGGGAACTGGGAGTGACTGGAAGCATGCTGGGGAGGACTGGGATATACTGGGAGAGACTGGGAATCACTGGGATTATATTGGAGGCTCCTGGGGTCATGCTGGCATTGACAGGGAGAAACTGGGATCACACTGGGGGCCACTGGCATCAGACTGGGAGTGAGTGGAGTTACACTGCAAGTGACCGGGATCATACTGGGACTGACTGGGATCATACTGGGACTGACTGGGATCATACTGGAAGTGACTGGGATCATACTGGGAGTAGCTACAATCGGACTGGGATTGCAGGGGGTGTGATTGGTCCCTATCTGGGGGGTGCTGGGAGCTGCCAGGCGCATGCTGGGAGCCGACTGCGCAGCCACTGGGAGGAACTGGGAGCAACTGGGAATGGCAGGATGCAGCTGCAGCAGCAGCAGCTCCCCGGTGGCCCCGTGCCGGTGCCGCTCGTGGTGCCGGCTCTGGCTGCACCGAGATCCCGCTGGAAGGGGATCCCAGCCAGGGACCCCATGGACACCAACCGGGGGAACCCCGGGCCGGGCTCCGACAGCCCCACGGGCAGGGAACGCTGGGACAAGAGAACTGGGGAGACACTGAGATTTGGGGGCGGGGGGGCACGGGGGAACCAAAGGAGGAACCAAAGGGAGAGCTGGGAGAGCAGGGAACGGGGTTCGGGGGTTCCAGGACTGAGAAAAGGGGAGGCTGCGGTGGGTAGAGGGGGCACGGGCTGGGCTAAGGGGGTTCCTGCATGCAGGAAAGGGAGCTCCAAGGAGCCCAGGTGTTCCCATTCCCAGCAAAAGGTGGGAAAACCCGGGATGGCCGGGAATAAGGGTCCCAGGTGTCCTCGGTGTGAAGGAAAGGAGGGGCTGGGGGCTGGGAAAGGCAGGAACTGGGGTCCAGGGGGTCTCTGCGGGAAGGAAAAGGGGGCTCTAGGGGCTGGGAGAGGCGAGATGGCCGGGAAGGGGGTGCGGGGTGGATCCCCTGCCCGGGAGTGGGGGTGCGGGGGTTGTTGGTGTCAGATGAGGGGGTGCAGGGTGGATCCCATGCCCGGGAGTGGGGGTGCGGGGGTTGTTGGTGCCGGATCAGGGGGTGCAGGGTGGATCCCATGCCCGGGAATGGGGATGCGGGTGATCCCGGTGCCCAGGAATGGGGGTTCAGGAACCTCCGGTGCTCCGGGATGGGAGATCAGAGAGTCCCGGTGCCGGGGGTCCCCTTCAGCTCCCGCCGCCCCCCCGGGGCCCCAGGATTGCCCCCAGCCCCAGCGCTGGAGCCATCGCGCTGCTCCTCCTCACTCCCAGTGTGATCCCAGTACGGTCCCAGTAGAACTCAGTCACCCGCGAGCTGCTCCCAGGATGATCCCAGTACAGCCCAGTCACTCCCACTGCTGCCATCCCCCCCAGCCCTCGCTCCGTTACGACCTATCCCGGCTCCATCCCCGCTCCTTCCGCCGGCTTCGAGGACTCCGGAACCGGGGGAGGATGAGGAGGGAGGGAGGAAGAGGCGGAGCGGCAGCAGGAAGCGGCGGGAGCACAGGACGGCCGGAATCGCGCGGCTCCGGCGCTGCCTGAACTCTGGAACCCAAGAGCATCGCCCCCCATCCCGCAGGTGCCCGGGGAGGTTCCCCCATGTCCCAACTCCTGGGGTCACGCTTGGACTGGGGGTCCCCCGTCTACTCGGTGCCCGCCCTGCCCAGGCTGCTGGCAGTCCCAGCAATGCCAAAAGCTCCCCCCTCTTTGCTCTCCCATTTCGGGATGCCGGGGCTGTTTGGGCTCCCGGGCTCCCTTCTCCCCTCATTCTCTGCTCTGGGCTGCAGCGGCTCCAAGGAGTCCCCCCTGCCCCTCTCCAGGCTCTTGAGGCTCCCGCCAATGGCGGCGTTCCCCCCTCTCTGGGCTCCCCACTTTGGGCTCCTGGGGCACACAGGGCTCTGCTCCTCCAGGCTGCCTCTGGCGGCAGCCGCCACCGGCACCCCCTGATGTCCCCCTGAGGGGCCTTTTCCGCTCAGCCTTGGACTGCTTCATTCTCCAAACATCCCCCCAAAAAAACCCAACCCAGGGGCCCCCCGGGATATCTGGGCTGAGCTCCCCCCCCCCCCACTCACTTGCGCGATGGTGAGGGGGGGGCGATGATCCCACGGTTGGGGGCTGCGAATTCAGGGAAGGAATGACCGCGTGGTTTTCTTCTTTCCTTGATGCTCCTTTGTCCCTCCTCTTCCTCCCTTTCCTCTTCCATCCCTCCTCCCCCCTAACCCCGCCTCCTTCTCCCCCTCCATCCCTGCCCTTCCCTCCCTCCTCCTCCTCCCCCAGCAGCAGCCACACCCTTGGTGCCCCGTTCCCGCAGCCCTCGCAGCCCGCGGCAGGAGCGGGGATGGAGCCGGGACAGGTCGGGATGGGCAGCGCGGGGCTCTCGGCTGCTCCCAGCCGCTGCGGGCGGGGGGA